ATGTGATGTGTGCGGTGTGCATGTGTATGTGTGTGATGTGATGTGTGTGGTGTGCATGTGTATGTGTGTATGTCTGTGGAGACCAGGGGCAATGTCAGAAATCTTCAGCAGTCACTCTCTGTCTCTTCACCGAGGCAGAGTCTCTCGATGGAACCTAGAGATTACTGATACAGTTAGTCCAGCTTGCTCCAGGAATCCTCTGTCTCTATTCTCCTGGTGCTGAAATTATAGGCAGGTTGCTGTGCCCCCTTGACATCTGTGTGGATGTTGGGGTTCTGAACTCAGGTCCTCATGCTTGAACGCCAAGCACTTTATCTACTGACCCATCTCCCCAGTCCCCATCCCTGCACTTTCTGTCTCTAAGGAGCCAATCCTCTTTTCTTTTACCACCCCCCCCATATAAAAATATAACCATACCTGACCATTGACCTTCCAGAAGTTTACCTCTTACATATCACCCAGGCAGGGAACTACCAGCTACTGCTTTCAGTTTGGCCATTTATACCTCAGTATGTTGTCAAACTAGCCATATTGCCAGGAAACCACTGAAAACAGCCAGAACCAGAAGCCTGAGGTATGAGGTAGCCCATTTACAAATCTGTGGCCTTTATAGTTCTGGACATAAAGAAAGAGAAGGACTTGACTTTTTCCTCTCTTGAGGAGCCTGAAGTGATGGGAGAAAGAAGCTAAAATATTTCCTGCCAGACTTACTACTGTTACTATATACAGCTATCATCAGACCTGGTAAATCTGTCCAGAGAACAGAGAACTGCAACTGTGATATGAATTTTAGGATCCTGTTATATAAATCTACCTTCAAATCACAGATCCTTAATCTCACCTATGTATACAGCAAAATTATGAGAAGTATTTCTTTTAAAGTACAGACAATATGGTCAATTTTCATGAAATCATTGTCCAATCCCACATAGATATTATTATGATTATAATTATTTATCTGTTCTAGTGTATTCTTATTGGGTGTCCTTTTCTCACAATTAAAGGTTCTCCTTCAACCTCATTCCATCCAACACTCCCTGAGTTTAACTTCTGGTGGACTCTTGAGTTGTTGTGTATAAAACACATCATTGATCATGTCCACCATGTGAGAATATTTTCACAAAGTATCTCACAGAGAACCTGGAACATGGTGGCCATTCTGCAAATGTGCCTTTGGTGGTCCTTCAACCATCCTGTCACTTATTTGGGAGAAATAAGAGACTATATCACAAAAAGAACAAAAATGCAAACATTGATGTGGTTGTCCTCCTGTTGTTTATTCGCCTCCGTTTTGAGGATTTCGATAGAAATCGTTTTGTCCTAAGCCATCTTTTGGATACCAAACTTAGTTTTATGCACATATCCTGGTGAACAGGTTTGATAACATGGCAAGGCCATCCAATGGCATTAGCATCTTGTGTACACAGCACTGTTTGTGCAATGTTTGGATATATAATTGCATTTTATTCTTGCCTTAAAATAAATAGAAAACAAAATTGAAAGTGCTCTTTGAGGAACCTGGCTCTGATAACTGCGGCACACCTGAGGGACCTGATCAGAGTCAGGAGTGGCCAGTCTCAAATCCTGAGGAGATTGTCACTGAACCAGCAGGCTGGGTAGTTGTGTGTAAAAGAGGAAGGAGGAAGACTCCAGATGAAATACCTGAATGGTGTTATCAAAGAACGCTCCTAATAGTGGGAATGAATTCTTATTACTTAGAATCACACATCATCCTTTATTTATTTATATTTATTCATCCTTTACATACACAACACATTTACCCACATGTTTAGGGATACATTATGTATAATAAAAACATGGAGCTGGGTGGCGCTGGCACACACCTTTAATGCCAGCACTTGGGAAGCAGAGGCTGGTAGACCTCAATGAGTCTGAGGCCAGCCTGGTCTACAAAGCAAGTTCTTGGACAGCCATGACTGTTACACAGAGAAACCCTGTCTCAAAAAACAAAACAAAGCAAAACACAAAAGAGAAAAGAAAAGAAACAAACAAGCAAATAAACAAAAAACAACCAAAACACCCCAACCAACCAAACACAAAGGCTAGCCTAGGCAGCCCACTACTCCCCAATAGCACATGCACCTCTTCTACATGCACCAGGGAAGCAAGTGGGCATTCTGAGCGCCTCCTTCAGGCAATAGTGTGCAAGTTCCACCTCCTTGGTGGAGGAAGTAATAGTAACAGATTTGTTTCTGAGAAATTAAATCCGAAATTGAAGGACTCCGCCTGTAAATATTTGGGTGCATATGTAAATTGTTTTTTGGTTTCCAAGCAAGTTATTAAGAACATGAAATAGTCTTCATTCATTCCTGCTGGCTAGACACCAGGCTTTCCAGGGTGGGGAGGAGATGAGTAGGAGGGTGTACGATGGATTTACAATTCTCAGGCACAACTTGGAATTCATTTTCTCACAGAAAAAGAAAGGTTCCTAGGCTAGCCTGCCAAAGCTCATTTAGTCCACAGAACAGAGGACAGCTTTATCTTTCTACACCATGGGAGTCGGCGTGGTCTAAGGATGCAAATCTTCGTTTGGCAGGCAGGAAGCCTGGCTTTTATTTTAGTCAGCTGCCCGCTGGAGGCGCTCACATCCCAGCTTCGCAGCTCTGTGTCGCAACACCTCTGAAGGAGACAACTGTGCATGCAGTAATGCTCCAGGTCACCTCAAGTCTGAAAGACCAAGGCCAAGGTAGGGGACCCCTTCTGAAGAAGCATGGAGGCAACCTAAAGGAGTCCCCGCCACTTATGGAGCCAGGATCTTTGTGGGGGGGGGGGGAGAAGAAGGCAAGGAAACGGGATCGAACCCAGGGCTTTCCCTCCCTTGTGCTGGTCTACAACTGAGCAATCCTCCCAGGAGCTTTATTTGTATTATGTGACAGCCGCTGTTTCTTACCTGTTATCATTTTAATACATTAATTAATTAAACAACAACTGAGTGAAGGCAGAATGCAATACTGAGTTTCTACAATCCCAGTATCCTGGAAGCAGAGGCAGAGGGATTGAGTTTGAGTCCAGCCTGGGCTACATAGTGAGCTCAAGGCTAGTATGAACTGCATCGAGACTCTTATCTTGAATAACTCAAGCCAAACAAAAACCAACAACAAAACCCAAATGAAATTTGTCAGAGATAATGAACTATGAGCAACACAAGGAAACTAATGGCCTGAATTGCTCTTCAGTCTCCAAACTAAAGGTTTTTTTTTTTTTCCATTTGTGAGGGCTTTCGGTGGGGGGTGTTGGTCTGTACCACAGCACAGTTGTGGAGGTCAGAGGACAATTTGTGGGAGTTGATTCCCTCCTTTCACTTTGCAGTTCCCAGGAATCAAACTCAGGTCATCAGGGGAGAGGGCACCTTTGCTCTCTACGCCATCATGCCAGCCCATCCAGCTGGATGTTTTGACTGACAGCTTCCTAAAGAAAGAATTCACAACCATAATCAAGTTCTAGAACAGTTCGGCTAGGCGAGAAAAAGTAGTGTTGGAAAGTGGTAAGTACTCCTTCCTCATCTTCCTGAGGTGACTGCCAAGACAAATATGAAGAAGAGATGGAGGAGGAAGAGGAGAAGGAGGAAGAGGAGGAGGAGGAGGAGGAGGAGGAGGAGGAGGAGGAGGAGGTGAGAAGGAAGAGGAGGAGGAAGAAACAGAGAGAGAGAGAGAGAGAGAGAGAGAGAGAGAGAGAGAGAGAGAAAGTTGTTCAAGGAGCCAGGAGGCAACGTGCTGGTCAATCCCAGGATTTCCATGAGGCAGAGGCAGGAAACAGAGTTAATTCCAGGTCAGTCTCAGCTATGTTGTAAGACCCTGTATTAATAATATAAAACAGAGAAGTAAAAAACAAACACCTCTAAACACCAAAGACTTGCCATGTACATCAGTGATAGTTACCTCACATGCTCATGCCTGGGTTCGGTTCCAACACCACCAAAGATATCTGCATATATATTTGATTGAATGAAATGGTCTTTTGAGATAGCGTTTCATTATGTAGCCCCAGCGAGGCTGGAACTCATCCTGAGGTCCTAGCGGAGGCTCATCTCTGGATGCTGGTAGATGGGCCTGTGCTACCCAACTGCCTTGAGAAGATGATTTCTTTCCCAGAAAAGTGTAACTGTGGATGGGAACCAAAAGATCCATTGTCATCTGTACTCTAGACTTTGATGATGGCATTTGTCCAGAATGAGAATAAAAGGCTGAATTTGTGTTTTTTCTTTCTTGTTTTATGGGTCCTCACCTCTTTAAACAAAATTGGATCTAGTAAAATTGTTACAGAAGGAGGCTGGACTGTCATCGAGAGGAGGACTTTTATTGCTTGCATTTCTGCCCTCTACATGTCAGGGAATGAGGTTAATCTGGAAGAAATAGATAAAGTAAGACATTCATAATTCTCATTCCCTGGTTTGGCAAAACATCTTTATTTTTTTATTTTACTGAGGTGCTGGGGATGAAGCCCAGAACTCAGTGCTCTACCACATCCTAGCCTCAAAACTAATTTTGAGGGTACCCCTGAGCTCTTCTGGCTCAGTCTTAAGGTTATCAGATGTCAAGCAACTTTGAAGCCACACTTCTTTTCCTCTAGTCAGTTCCTTTACCTCCTAATCCTTCTACACCCTTCACTGCCACAGTTTTACTGACTGATGACGTGTACCAGAGTTCTTGGCACATAGTAACTGCTTA